AACTAGGTGATTTGATGTGGAATAACCATACAGAGTGAATATAAAAAAAAAAAAACTCATGCAAATTGAAAAAACTGAGCTAAGAGAATACAACACAAAAATAGTACAACTATCAAAACATATGACTAAAACCTAATCAGTTATCAAAATCATTTCTATTTCTCCAGAAAGAAATCTTTGTCAAAAATATCAATCTTTATTAAAACATTAAAAAAGCTATGTAAATTTTGATAGCCTATGCAAAAATTCAATAAGGTGGGCAGTTTGTCTAGCTGATAAATCTGTTTTAGACCAGCTTTTCACTGCATGTGCAGTTATTTATTTGCACCAAAGCCTGTATATATTATCTTTTTTTATTAAACTCTTGTATACAGTGTACTAAAAAACCAAGTTTTGTTTTGTTCCTATTACCAGATTTTATGCTTTGTTCTTGTATGTATGTTCTTGTATGCTTGCATGTGGTTTTTTCTGCTTGGAACACGCAGATTTGGTTGGAATGCTGGTGCGATTGCATACTATTCCTGACCACGCATATAGTATTTAGTTGCGACAACTTGAACACAGCTTTTTAGATATTCAAGAACATTCAAACTCATGAATGTTTCCATGTATGTTTGAAAAATTCAGTTTCAACAAGCTAAAAAAATTAACTTATTAACATTAAACTTTTGTAATCAAATGTTTATATATTAGCAAAACACTTTTAAACAAAGTGACGATTTAATTTTATTGATTGTTTATAAAAAGAAACAACAACTTTTTCTTTAATAATATAAAGTTGAGTAAGTTTTATTAAAAGTTATATAAAGTTTAATAAGTTATTTAAATACAGATCAATTTTTTATTATTTAAATGTAAATCTTTTAAAACAATTTGTACAATTGATTTTATAAAAGTTTGACTTTCAACATCAATTGTGTTTTTAATAATATTTAAAAAATAATTATTTAATTTAAAAAGAATAATTATCAAATAAACTTACAGGAACTTACTGGCGACTGAACACAAACATACATATATATATATTAGGGTGGGTCACTTTTAAAAAATTTTTGAATTTAGGTTCGGCTGGGCATTTTTCTTATGTCTTTGACTGTATGATAATGAGAAACAATTTTCTTTTTATTTGCATTTAATGTTTAGTCAGGTAATTTTTAGACTGAAAATTTAAGTTTTATCATAAATATATCGTTTATGCGAAGTTATGAAAAATGGTTTGCTACTACTCAATAAAATAAAGTCTAAAAAGATTCCTGAGCCTTAGTTAACCTAGTTACATCAACAATATATTAAAGTTACATCAAAAATTAAAATTTTATGGTATATTAAGTCTATACACGTAATAAGACATTCAAATATTGATAACAGCATTTTCCACATATTTTTCTAAAATAAATTGTTTACTCATAATAAAAAGTTAAAATACTGATTACAAAATTTTCATCAGATCTTTTTTTGATTGGCACACAGGCATCAGCTCTCTATGAGCTATTGTAGCCCTTATGAACCCATCTCTTCTCTCGGCACCAAACACCGACATTGAAGCCCTGGTGACCTCTTTCACAATGCATTCAATAGATTGAATAGGGAAGTTTGGTACAACCATTGGATTATTAATAAACTGTATAATATCATCTCTAATCAAACAACAAGTAAGAACCGGTTCACTGATCTCCTCTGTTTCCCAGTTGATTAAATCTATTAGATTATTTGATTCAGTGTTTATCACTGGTATTCTTCTAATCCTGCATTTTCTGTCTCCAACTTCCTTATTTTTTCTAAAATCAATTTTTTTTTGCACTGCAAATCTCCTTTCTTCTTCATCTAAACTACAGAGCATTGTCTGAAGAATACATTCACTGTGTGCATTCCAGGCAGAGGAGCAGACATGCGGTAATACAATATCCTTCACAAACTTGTTCTGTTTTTTTACCAAGGCTAGTTGCTTATGGATATGATGTGGACCTTGAATCCAGCTATGTTTAGTCTAAAGTCAATTACTTTTCTTTAGCATAATCACAATTGTTTTACAATTATTAAAGTAAATTATAGTATTTAAGTAAAATATTGTATTATATCTTTATTTACATAACTAAGTTTCTTACCTTAAGATCAAACCACATAATCGAATAAACACCCATGATGAACTCTGTTAACAATTTCAAGTTTTGTAGATCTTTGTTTTTTAAACAATGCTCTGAGCACCAGATTCGAAGTAGTCTATTTGCGAGATTTAACCACCTTGAATGATTGTGTGGACCAATATGAATCTCCTTCAAGTCATCAGGAAAAACACCTGATGCTATTGCATTATGTATTCTGTATAAATACTTCTGATCTGTAGACAGTGAATCTACAACTTCTTTCTCGAGATGAATTAGGTCTACAACAAAATCAAGCTGAGGGATGCATGTCAAAATTAGGAAGATTTGTTGCTATGTTAATAAGTTTTCCGATGTTTCCTGAGAATCTATTTTCAGATAAAGTTTTTCCATCTAAAGCTAACATTAAATGCCTAAGTGGCAATTCGTTGGTATGTAGCGCACAAATAATCCAGATAAGTTTGAATCCTAGTTTTTTCTCTAAAAATTGAATAATTCCACCCTTCCAACCTAAAATAAATTTTTATTTTCAGTAAAAAAAAAAAAGAAGTACATAAAATTTTGAACAACCATTTAAAGAAATAAAAATAAAAACTGTGTTAAGGTTGGTTGTATCTCCTCCGATTGCAATTAATTGGTTTTCAATGCCATGTGCTATTCTCCAATCATATAATTGTTCAGCAATATGTTCAGCAGGTGTTCGAGCTTCTCTCTCCTCTGAATTATTTACAAAGTGGAATAAATATTTTCCACCAGGTTCAGAACAGACACTATAATGATCTTCTTTGATCTCCCTTGGATAAGATTTACCATCATTGCCATATACAACTGTTTTAGTAAGGTCTTTTCTACCATCAAACATAATACATTGTATGCCCTCTTTCTTAACTTCATTATTATGTCTCTCTTTACAGACATTCATTACTCTTTGCTTTGATCTCTCAATTTTTTTATGATCTAGAGCTAGTGTTTATCAAGTATATGATCTTTCAAAAAACCTGCATCTTTGGCTGCTTTTAATGTTGCAGTGCCTATTGATGCAGTTGCTCTGTTACTTGTAACAAATCGTAATGCTGACAAAGCAATATGATTTACATTTAAGATATTTAGCTGAGAAACTTTTTTTATTTCTGGTAAATAAAGATTGTCATTATAATCATTCTCAGCATTGTCTGACTCCACATCATTTTGAGATAATACTTCAGAATACTGTACAGTCTCAATCCTATCTCTCTTTGATTTGTTCTGCTTTCTTTGATGGTATTTTTTTTGTCTGGATACTTCTTTTTTATCAACTGAACCTATTTGCATTCCACTTTTAGAACCAACTTTATCCCTCTGTGACTTTAAAAATTTAAGTTCAATAATAGCAATTTTATTTTCCTGAGAACATTTGCAAACAATATGAAAAACTTGGTTGCAGCCATAACAATTGGATTTTTCGCATGATTTTATTGAACATTTACACTTAGCTATGTCAAACAGTTTATCTAAGATTAATTTATGATCAGAAAGTTTCTTAGATGTTCCCCTATCTAACGCCAGATTATATGCTTTTTTCCATTCATAAATGATTCTTTCTTTTCCTCTTTTATCAGAGATAATGGGTATAAGTGGATTAGCTTTTTGCCACAAATATTTTACTGAGGTCCACAATTTTTCAGAAGTTAGCCTTAAATTTTGGTTATTTTCTTCAATCCTTCTAAGAAAGAGACCATATCTTAAAACATCTCTTAAAGTTGGTAGTTCTGACTCTAATAATGTTTTTCTTGTACCAATTAGCTTTGTTAATTTACATTTAACTTTATCACGAGTGTTTTGAGCCATTCTTTATAACTGTAAACTTATTTCTATACTATAAATTCATGCGTTATTATTTCTTCCTTTTAATAACTAATACAACTGCTACTAGTGGTCCGACTTTAGCGTACATAAACAAAATTTTCAGAAATACGTCATCAATACATTTTAAAAAATTAACTGTTACCCATTTCTATGGTAAAATACCCCCCTTAGTTGCAATATTTTAGGATCATTTTTTGACATTTTTATTGATAAAATAGGTGTAGTTTAAGACATTTATTGATTTAAAATGGTTTGAAGATGGCAAAAGTAAAAAAAATTGACAAAACTCTCGGGAAATTATATATTTATGATAAAACTAAAATTTTCAAGCTGAAAATTACCTGACTAAACATTAAATGCAAATAAAAAGAGAGTTGGTTCTCGTTATCATACGGTCAAAGACATAAGAAAAATGCCCAGCCGAACCTAAATTCAAAAATATTTCAAAAGTGACCCACCCTAATATATATAGTGAATAACAAGCGGTAATTACACAGTGCCAGAGGTCTGAACAAAAACACACACATGCATTAGATACTGATCTTAACAGACTGCTGGTTTAGGGTTCTGTCATGTTGTGGAGTTTTTTTAAACATTTTAAAGACACTGCTGAAAGAAAAGATCGTTATAATATTTCTATAGTACCTCTTGTTCATCTTAGTTAAAAAGAATTGTTTCAAATATTTTAAACTTTTCAAACTAAGCAAAGCATAAAATGGTTATAAAAAAATATTTACTTATTTATTTATTATATAATTCAACTAGCGTTAACTTGTTGAAATAAAGTATAAATAGATTTTAAAAAAATTGTATTATACTCTTTGATAAATTGAAGAAGGTTTGTTTCCTTATTAAAAGATCATTAATAGCAATTAATTTTCATTAATGTAGTCAAAACATCTAAAAAGCTTCGGCCAAGTCATTGCAACTAAATATTATGTGCATGTCAGATATAGAGTGCAATCACACCCGCTTCCTTACCAAGCCTAAACACTGTATTCGTTTCATATGTAAACTTTTTACCTGAATTTCACTAAACTATTCTTATTTAAGGAAGAAAAAGAAATGGGTTATTGGAGATTTTCAACTATGTGGCATGTATCACGTGATTTTTATAAAGATCATAACGTGAAAACAGATAAAGGAAACAGAACTCTAGATAAGTAAGTATACATATGTATTTTTGATTTTTTCATTTATGTTTTATAATAACTGAGACAGTGGTATGCAATAATTTAAGGCAGGTGAGGATTCTTAGCTGTGAAGGAATGTTTTACCTTTTCTTCTCCTAGATAACTTGTAAAGGCAAATTACTTAAGTTGAATGAGTTAACTCCAATATAAAGCTCTCAGTTTATAGAATATGGACCAAAACTTTTTTATTATGACTTTTTTAACAATATTTGTTGTTTTTTTTGTTGCATAATAATTTTATTAATTTTATTATTATAATTAAAATAAATTTAAAACAAAAAATTAAGAAAAATGTTATCAGGTAATAAATAAAGTTGTTTTTTAAAAGTAGGTAAAACTCTAAAACTTAAAAAACGTTTAGTTTACTTTAAAAATAAATACTTTTAAAATAGACCAAAAAGTTGCAAACTAATCTAATTTCTTTTTAGAACATTAGTGACATTACTGGATCAAAAATCAACGTTAAAATGCATTTTTAAAGCTTAATCATCATTTTTAAATGTTGGCAAAAAATTAAAATAAGACTTATCATCATTTATCAAATTTAAGCCAAAATCTTTTAATAAAAATATTTAATAATAAAAATTACTTCTTTATATTCAACACTTATATTATTATATTCTTTATATTCAAAACTTAGGTATTTCTATAATATTAATAATAATAATATAATATTAATATGAGTTGTTCAACTCGTACTTGCAAATATCTTTTTTAGATAAAAATATTTCTGCTATGAAGCTTGCTGCTGCTAATTAATTTTATTTTTATTATTTGCTTTTTATAACAGATCTGCAAAATTTTGCTTTTGATTTTTTGCATACTGTTATGAAAAGGTTAATGATTAATTGGTTATAAAAATGAATTGCTTTTAAAGAGCATTGCTTTAAACAATAATGTTTTAAAGAATATAGCAATTAAACTTCATGTAGTTTAATTGCTATATTCTTCATATAGCAAACTTTTGAGTTAGTGATTTTTTAGAATCGAGGATATTTTTTAACAAAAAAGTTTTTTATAGTTTATTATATTTTTATTTGTTTTTTAGATGTTTTTTAATGATTTTAGAAAGTCTAGAAATGCAAATTTAGTTTATCAGCAGTAATCAAAGACTTTATTAACAGCAAATTTGCCTTTTAAAAAAAAAAAGGAATATACAGTTAACTCCCAGTTATTCTAACTTCCATGGGGAATAAGAATTTACTATAAACAAATGATGCACTAGATAAAAGTTTTTTTTTGACTAATATTTCATGTACCTGCTGTTGCTGATTTAGTAGTCTTAAATTTTATTGTGGCAAATTTATTTGTTTATGTGACACAATGCTCGCAAAAAGTGACCAACGGAGCCGTCCAGTTTCATCAAATTTTACACCAAATTAATTTTATTGTGCCAATTTTTCAAAAGCTTTGAATACTCTCTGCAAGTTTTACACCAAATTAAAGTAATTTCTCTTAAATCATTTGTTTGAAAGCAGCAGGGTTTAAACCCCTGTTTTTCAATAACTGTTCTGTTATAGGCATATGCAACTTGTTTAGAGTTTTCTTTGAAACATTGTAGCACTTTTTTACTTTTAGTTGCTTTAATAAAAAACCTTAACTTGTTTTGAATTTATTAAAATTTTAATGTGTTTCTTAATTAATATTTATTTAAAAAATCTAAACTTTCTTATTAAATTTTCTGATCTTAAATAATATTAAAAAAGCCATAAATATGTAAATAAACAGTTTTACCTAATAAAATAAACTTAACAACATAACAAATGCACTCAAATTTTAAGTAAAAAAAGCACGACATTCAAATTATTTATTACCCCTAGTAGTGAATTTACATATTACAAATAGTACATATTATTTGAATATAATTGTCAAAAGACAAAATTTTTATCAATTTTCACAAAAAATATTAAAATTCCAACCAAAAAAGAGCTTATAATTAAGAAAAATTGCCAACAAACAATCAGAACATATCATATTTTAATTTTATGATGTACATTTCATCTTAACAACATATTTATATAAAATCTTATTCAAATTTAGACTTTTAAATGAATTTTTCAATCGTGATTTTAAGAAGACTTAGAAAAAGGAAAAAAAATCTTCCGTCTGGTTTTTTTTGCTTTAATTTTTATATTAAGTTACAGCAAAATTTTATTTTATTTTTGTCTTTTTCTAATTCACTGACTTGATAATTTAAAGGAAATATGTCGCAGTCAGCAAAATATCTTACAGACCTTGTAATATTTTAAATTGCCTTAATTACACCAAGTATTTAAAATGTTTACGATTTAAATAAAACTTTTTTCCTCACTTGCACTTCTTTTACTCTTTTCTTTCACTCTTTTAAATCTTATATTGTTACTGTAGCTAGATCTATGTTTGATTTTCAGGAATTAAACCTCACTAATACCATACCACTGGGTTTTACAGATGTTCCTGCAATTAAATTTATAATTGTTGGCAAGCGTTAAAATTCTTTTAAATTATTAAATTTTTTGTTTAATTTCATTTTCAAAATTATTTGAATAGAGACTAAAATTCTCTTCAAATAAATTTCTTTTTAAAAAAATTCCTAAAAAAATAACTTGCCTATTTATAGAAAATGTTTAATCTTGATATTGCAGGGCTCGTATTAAGCGTATCGCAATGGCGAATCGCGATTGCTTTTTAATCTTTCGCGATTAGTTTTTTCTTAAAACATATTTTTTCGCGATTGGTTTACTATTTAGTTGTTTATTTACTTTTTTTCTAATTTAGCTTTTTCTTTTGGCAATTCTTAAAAAGTAATGTTTTCGTAGTAAAGTACGTCACGCAAAGTTTGTCTTTTGAATAGAAGCATGATCATTTGCTCTTTCGCGAGGAGATTTTTATTCAACGTAAAGCACTTTTTAATTTAAATTACTTTAAATCTCTGTTTAGTAGCAAATTAAAAACACAAAAGTTAAACAGAATTTTTTCTTTATTCTATTTTTTTTAACAAAACAGCATTTTTATCTTTTTTTAAAAAAAACGTTGCTCCAAATTAACTTATTAATAATGAATTAAATTATTATTTCATAAACAATTTTATATAATTATTTTTACTACTTTAAGTATAATAAAATATATATTAATTTATTTTTATTAAATAAAATTTCTATTAGTAAAATTGTACTAATAGAAACCAGCAACTTTTTTGTTTTCACGTTTTTCGCTTTTAACGACCTTGAAACTATTGAAGTTATATTTAGTCAACTTTACTGAATGGATAGAGTATATCACAGTAAATTAACTTATAACCTAAATTAAAACAACCAGTTAAGTTAAGATAGTAACTTAAGATAGTTACTCAAGTATTAATTTAACAATTATATTAGTTTATTTAATATACTCACTAAAGTTAGCCATAGACATGTTTCAATTTAGATCTTACATGTTGTTAAAACATAATATAAGCTTTTAACTAGTAATTATTTGAACAAAAATTGTCGAATAGAATATGAAAAACGCGACACCATTTTTTATATTTTCATTTTATTTATAGCGACATCTAGACTAAACATTTTCTATAAATACGCAAGTTGTTTTCAGAAATTTTAATTAAAAAGAAATCTATTTGAACAAGAGAACTTTAGTCTTAAAATTATTCAAATAATTTTGTGCTTGAAATTTGAAATTGAAAAAAAAATTTAAAAATTGAAAAAAAGTTTGATGAAACAAGGGAGAATAAAGATGAAAGTTTTTTTTTTCCGAAATTGTAAATTTTGTTAATGTTTTGAATTATATATTTTTCTTGAAAATAGTTTTAAAAGTAGAAACATTCTATTGCAAACATCAAAGCTGTGATTGCAAATTGCAAGTTAAAATAAAAATTATAAAAATTTAAAATTAAATTTAATAAATTATTTTACTTTTGTTCGAAAATTTTTTTTTCTAAAAAAATAATTTAAGCATATTCTTACACTTAATATAATTCGATTTATTAAACAAAATTTTTTGTTTCAATTTTTTTTTTTGGAAAACAATTAGAATAAAAAAAATTGAATGAAAACAACAGTTTAAAAACCTTTTTTAACTGATGTTTTAAAAAATGAAAAACTTAATTATGCTTAAATTTTTAATAGTATGCTCGATCAGGAAACGATAATTTATAAAATTTATATATAAAAAAAAAAAAAGCTAAATTAGAAAAGTAAGAAAAAAATAACATACAAAAAAAAATTAAATTAATTAGGGAAATATTTTTTTTCAAAAAAAATCTAAAACCATAAATAAAATACCATTAGTTTTTTTAAGGTTGATAAAAGAATATTAATATGTCACTTTTAACTTCATAAAATATTATAGGTAAATAAATTTGAACAAAAGAAGTATATTTAGAGTTGTGCAGAACTCTTTCTACTGGTCATTGTACATAAATCTTGCATAATGATGATGTTAAATTTAGCTTAGAGAAACATCAACAATTTTAATCAATATATCTCTGAAATACTTAATAAACTTCATGGATATTTATAAATAGTATATGGTTAATAATGATTATTATTATATCATTTTAAGGTATTTTTCTTTACCTATACATTGTTTTTTAACTTAAAGTCAGAAATAGCTTAAAATAAGTTTAGATTACCCCACTCTACCCTATTCAAAATTTTGAGTGTCAAAACTAACAGTGAAATTTGAAATATACATTGGCCTGAAAACTACAATTTACACAAATTATATAGTTTTGCTACATTTAAATAATGTTTGATTGTCACAAAACTTAATAATTGTCATTTTTGAGTAAGTCAATATCTCTCATAAAAGTCTAACTGGAAATTAAAAAAAAACAAATGCAGAAACAGATTGTCCTAAACAAAACTGTCAGGAAGGAAAATAGATAAATACTTTTATGTTTATAATTTTATAATTACTTTTAGATGTATGCTTCTTATGGTTGATGGTCTTCAATCAATTCATACAAAAATAAGGTAAAAAAACAAAAATTATTGATCAAGTTTTTTTTAATACTGTGTTTCAAATAATTTTTTTGTAAAAAGGAACATTAATTATTTAAAAATATATTGATGTGACTTGGCTCTCTTACAAGTGATTCCGTTTGTAATAGAAACTTATCTAGAGCCAGTCTAAATCCACAAAAGAAGTTGTATATTTATATTTTATTTATAATATATTAGAATGTCCTAAAGAACAACATTTTTGAAAAATATATGCTGCTGCCCTCTTAATGTGTTCTATATGATGAAAAAACATTGGTTTTTAAGAATAATTAATAAAAATATTTCATTTAAAATTTTCATATGGTTTTGCTTCATTTGAGAACCAAAATGATAACATGAGAACTTTTTTTTTGATAATATTAAGGACTCATTTAATGTTAAAGGGTTTTGGGGGACTCCTAAAAATATCTTTTATTCAAAAAAATTTTATATCCAGTGTTTTATATATATATATATATATATATATATATATATATATATATATATATATATATATATATATATATATATATATATATATATATATATATATATATATCAACCTTCGGAATTAGGAAAAATAAAGTTGGCAAATAATTGCAGATTGCAATCTTTTTGAGGTCGGCATCAGATCGACAGAAATTATTTGATACAAAGGTTTGACCATAAAACATAGAAACAAGGTCGGCAATTTTTTGCCGACCTCAAACACTTTCAGGTCTGCAGTGAGGACCCTCATTCCGAGGGTTTATTTATATATATAAAATTGAAAATACATCATGTACGGTGACACTATTTATTTTACTATTAAAAATTTTTAATTTTAAATGTGATATTTCGGCTCATATAGTTGGAGCCATTTTCAAACTAAATTTCGTTACAAAAAATTCGTTATTTACAAAAATGATGTCATTGCTGCGTAATATTATAAAAGTTTTTTCTTAAATTTTACAAAAAATGGCTTCCAATGGTGAGTCATCACTAGGTTGCCATTATCTTGGTTTAGAATTTTATTTTTCAGATAGCAACATTGCAATCTGTCTATTTCAATTGCCTCCTTGATTTTTCTTGTACAATTATTTGGGATGACTGAAAATGTTTTTGGATTATTCCAATTAATTATACCTTTGCAATGTTGTGCATGTTCAACTATTCCAGACGCTTTCCAGTTCGCTTTAGTCACGTTTTTTTTGATGTTCAATAGTTAAATAAATAGTATGTCACCGTACATGATGTTTTTTCAATTTTATATATAAATTATATCATACTATTTAGATGTCATTAATATATATATATATATATATATATATATATATATATATATATATATATATATATATATATATATATATATATATATATATATATATATATATATATATATATATATATATATATATATATATATAAGATATAGAAAGAATGAATTTCACTGCTCTTCTGCAGTGCTCTGTGACAAAAGGGTTATGTCAACTTAAGGCGCTTAAAAAAAATTAAAATTTTCTCAGCAATCATCAACTATTAAATACAAAAAACATAAAAATGCTTAAAATGTCGTTTTAAAAAATTGTTAAAAAAGATTCAAAAATTATAGTAGAACCAGTTCTGGCGTAATTAAAAAAAAGACATTATCATTTAGTCTCCATTATCAAAAAAGGGACAAGTAATTTCTTAAAAGAATTACTTTAAAAATGTAAAAAAGAAAAAAAACTAAAATACTACTGAATCGTAGTATTTTAGTTGTTCTGTTTTACAGATGATAAATATTCTTGGTAGTAAATTAGCAGAATTTGATTTTTTTTTTTATTAATTTCACAGATAAAAACCGTTTATTTTTTATTTTTCAATTAAAATATTTTTTAAGTTTATTTTGCTTAACACTATTACATTCTTATTTTTGAACAATTTTATTGGTAAATTTGTTCCACATTTTTAACATTTTTTAAAATGTTAAAAATAAATAAAATCAGAAAAATACTTGTAGGCAAACTATGGTGTTCATATTTATGTTTTCGTTTCACAAAATGTTAACATGCAGCTTTACTTCCTTAAAACAAAGACTCTAACTTTCCCTAATTTTAAGCAACAAGATAAGATAAATAAATAAGATCTGTGTAAGGCCTATGGTTCTATAAAGATTAGGTTCAGTTTATTATCAGGACAATGATACTTTTCATTATGTTAGAATGTTATATTAACACATAGATGTTATATAACTTATGTTCTTGTCTTTTCCTAATGCAGGCTTTGTAGTATTTTGATATAACTGGATGTTGATCTGTTGTAGATATAAAATGGTATATTTTTATTTCAGAGAATTGAAGTTGCATCAAATTTATTGTCAGAATTTTTTTTGACAATAGCTTGTTTATCTACAAGTTTCCATAAAGTTCAAAATTATAAGCTTTTCTAACATAATAAAAAGCATCATTGTTCTGATGTTTTTCCATTGATCTTATGCCGATCTCATGCTGATCTCATGTAACAACACATCAAAATTCAAATTTCAGGCTAAACAAAAAATTGCTGAATGATTATATGGATTAATTTAAATTTAAAGTGGTTAAAGCCAACATTAGTTGATGAAAAAAAGTGTTTTTCAAAAGATAAAGATATACTAACCAATCAAAGAAACAGAAAAAGTGCAAAATTAAATGTAATTAAGTTATATAAAAGTCATCTATAGAAAGTCAATTTAACAACTTTTTTAACTAGAAAAAAACAAGCAGAAATGACAGAACATTTAACTTTTTTGCCTCCCTTTTTATAATTATCTTTGTAGGTAAGTTGCTCTTCATTCTTCAAATAAATAAATTACAGTTACACTAAGCAAAGTTCTGTCACACAATAGAATCAATCATTGATAAAAATCTGACTGGTGGCATTTGATTGTTTATATATAAGTGCACATGTTTTACTTGAATAATCTTACATGGCAGGACTCCATTCAAAGCGATTATGTAAGTCTATATAAAAATACTTAATATACTTTTGAACAATACCAAGAATTTGTTTACAGCGTTATTTATGTGATGATACATCTCATGATACATCAATATCAAAGTTATGTATGTGATAATACATGCCTCTATCAATTTCAAAGTTATGTATGTGATGATACATGTCTCTATCAATATCAAAGTTATTTATGTTATGATACATGTCTCTTTCATTATCAAAGAGATGACTTGTATATTCTCTTAGTACGTAAAAAGGGTTTCAAAAGTGGTTTAAAACTTGTTTTTTAACTGTGTTTGTACTTGGTTGAGTTGGAAAGCATTGATATTCAATTATTAAATGGTATTTCATCTTTTGAAAAAATAGTTTTTGAAAAATAGAAAACTGGTTTTTTGCAATTTTTAAAAAACAATTTTTGAAAAGTAGAGAACTGGTTTTATTCATTTTTTAAAAAATAGTTTTTGAAAAATGGTTTTTTGATATCATTATTGCAAGAGATCTTATTTTCAGAGACTGAAAAAAGACTTAGTTAAATTTAAATTATATTATTTATGTAGTAGTTAAAAATAACAATTGTTTATTTTTAGTTACAGTAAATAATAAATATTTTGTTCTATTTGGGCTAAAGTTTACATTCTAATGAAAGTTTAAACATTTTTGAACATTATCTATCGATACATGTTGATTACTTTTTAAGCAATTACAAAAACAAATAAAATTTAAGATAAACATACTTTGATGTGATTTTATTATCTTTTGTATTTATTATCTTTAAAATCATGTTTGGCATTGATCTTAGTAGAAAGAAAAAATATTATTTTTAGAGAAATCAGTAAAAATTGGATAAAGCATTGTTTACATTTTGGAGATATTGGAAGAGTTATGGAAACAATATTGTTAGTTTTGCTTCATCCCACAAGTGCAAGGGTTGCTATTCATTATGCTCATACATGGCCAGCTGATATAAACTTAACATATGTCAACAATCTTGAGCAAACAGAGTTTGGTTGTTGTTTTGTTTCAATTTTATTGTTTTTCAACTTTGTTTCAATCTGAAAAATCTTAAAGCTTTAAACATTTTTTACAAAACACAGTTTACAATAAACAGTAGTAAATTAAAATTTGCTATAGATTTAGCTTAAAATGAATTTGTTTTTAAGAATCAAATAAAAATAAACAAAGCAATAAAATATATTTTGTTAAACAGGTACCAATAACCCAATCAATAGTCAGTCATCTTTAGAAGCTAATACAGGATTTGGAGATAATGATGAAGTTGAAGAAAGAAATACACAGTCAGGTATTAAACTTCCTTATATATATATATATATATATATATATATATATATATATATATATATATATATATATATATATATATATATATATATATATATATATATATATATATATATATATATATATATATATATATATATCATATACATATACATATATATATATATATATATATATATATATATATATATATATATATATATATATATATATATATATATATATATATATATATATACATATACACATATATATATATATTTATATATATATATATATATATATATATATATATATATATATATATATGTATATATATGTATGTATATATATATCAGGCCTTGTTAAGAATCGTTACGCAGCTCGCATTTTACCTGTGAAAAGGCGATTTGCCTACGCGTTCAGCAGTTTTGCGTTACGCAAAAACTTTAATCTTTTAGAATATTTAAATTATCATTTGATATCGTTTATGTGGCGTTCATTCAAAAGAAAATAAAGTCGTAAGTAAAAGCATTTAACCGCAATTGTAAACTAATAGATTTTTTGTTAAAGAAAAATTTGTTTAATTATTTTTATTGTTGTTGTTGTTAAAAATTAGTTTAAAAAAAATAAGTGTTTTAAGTTTAAACTTTTTATCATATTCAATATTAAGTTTTATATTTCATAAGTTTAAAAACATTCAAGTTAAAAAAATAAATATATATATTTTCAATTTATTATATTAAATTTAAATATTTTTTTATTAATCATAGTTTTTAGTAAATAAATTTATTAAATTTAATTAAAATTCTTTTATTTAATTTTAAAACAGAGCATTTTAAAATTTTTTAATTTTAAAATGCTCCGTTTTACAATTTTTTTTAATGATAAAACTTCCAGAATAAAAAAAGATTTAGTAAATTTAATTTAAGTTACTTTAAAATGTTCGTATTACATATAACTTTATTTTAATTTCAGTTAAGTTTCAGGTAAGTTCCAGTTCCAAATACTGGTCTGAATAATGCACTGAACAAAAGCGCATTATTTTCCAGATTTTATTTTTCCATTATTTTACAGTTTCATTCATTATTTACAGAAGCGCATTATTCATTTTATAACTACAAGTTAATTAACGTTAAATAACGTTAATTAAAGTTAAATAACGTCAATACAAAAAAGTTCTATTAAACTCGAGTTATAAATGTTATGGTTGGGTTTTCCCTTAGCCGTTTGCCAAAAAGGGGAAAACTCAAACTATGCGTTTAGTTGTAAGTACATTTAAATCCCTTTAAGAAAATCAACCATAAACAAGTGCTAAATTTAAATTATTTAAAAAAAAAAATATTTAAAAAAAAACAACCATAAACCGAATGTTTGAAAGCAAAAAAATTAAGATTAAATAAGTATTAGATTTTAATACAAGAAGACTTTTTTTAAGGGGGCACAACCCCATTAAAAAGTGTAAATTGTTTAAAAAAATATTTTTTCAAAAGTACACTCAACTTTACTCAAATTTATCAAAGAAACAGCTAGTAATATTTATTTTTTTCAAATTATTATTTTTTGGCTGTTTGTGAGCATGCTTCCAAAAGTTTCAATTCAAAGTTATATAATAGATATATTTTCTTTTTAGGTATTGTTTATTGCAACTTTTGTTTTTTAATTTTAAATCGCGCTTAGCTTTAACTTTTTTAATAAATAGACTTCAATATAAGCTTAACTGATTTGAAGATACCAATGAAAATATTTAGTTTTGGCTAATATTTTGATGTTTTGGGATTTTAAATATAATAGTCGTTAATGAATAGTGTGTGATCGAACCTGTACAAAATCGAAACTTCGAGTAAAGTAATAGCGCTCGCTAGTTTACTTGCGAGAGTAAAAGATCACGCCCCTCTTAAGAAAAAAACTTGCAAAGGAGAAAATTATAAGTTGATTTAGACTAAATATTTTTAGTAAAATTTTTTTGATGAATCAAAATTTGTTTAAACAGTAGAGTTTAAACAAATTTTGATAAATTTTTTACACTAAATATTTGTTTATAAGATATTTATAAATATTACGCTATATATATATATATATATATATATATATATATATATATATATATATATATATATATATATATATATATATATATATATATATATATATATATATATAATATATATATATATATATATATATTTATATATATATATATATATATATATATATATATATATATATATATATATATATATATATATATATATATATATATATATAATTATTATGCTAGATATTTAATTTTTTAACATTTAAGTTTAGAATTTTCATTGAAGTGTTGCAAGTTTTAATATTTTATTACATGGAAAACAGCTCTTCGCTTATCTATGGAATTTAAACTGACAAAATTAAGGTTATATTATAACAAAACGCATAAATTTAATTGCGTTTTGTTATAATTTTTATAACAAAAACCAAAAATTAAATTTGCACTTTTGTGTTTTTTTAAACTAATTAAATTTAAAAAAACACAAAAGCGCAAATTAGAAGACTACAATGTTTTTAAAAACCTTAATAATGACAAATATAAAAACACCAGCTGATAAGCTATCTTTGCAAAACGATGTTGGCAAAGCCATTGAATGGTCTAGAAAATGGCAAGTTTATGCATGTTAGTCACAAAAAAATTAAATAAACACATTACTACACAATGTTAAGTCAAGATAAACTTTGTTATCCATTAAATTGTATCACATTAAAGTATGACCTTAGTATTTTTGTGTCTGACGATTTGAAACTAAGATGCAGCAGCAAAAAAAGCAAACTGGAAATTTCAAGGACGCAGTGTATTCAAGGACGCAGTGTTTTCAAGGACGCAGTGTATTCAAGGACGCAGTGTATTCCTCAGGCAAATATAATATACTTCATACATTTGACCTCATCTAGAGTTCACAATTCAAGCCTGGTCACCACACCTTAATAGCAATATCAATAAATTAGAGCAAATTCACCATTGCGCAACAAAATTAATTAACTCCCTGAGACACCAAACTTATGAAAAAAGATTAGAAGCACTGGGACTGACAACACTAGAAGAGAGAAGGAAAAGATGTCAGTCTTGATCTCAAGTTATTGAACAAGTAGATTTCTATGTACCATAACATTATAACATTATGCCTTTTCCAAATCAACGTCATATGACCTAAAATGTAACCACGAGTTTATGTTTCAACCGCGACAAGAAAAAACTATATAGAGACTCAACTTATCTATACAAATATATATATATATATATATATATATATATATATATATACATATATATATATATATATATATATATATATATATATATATATATATATATATATATATATATATATATATATATATATATATATATATATATATATATATATATATATATACATATATATATATATATATATATATATATATATATATATATATATATATATATATATATATATATATATATATATATATATATATATATATATATGTATATATATATATATATATATATATATATATATATACATATATATATATATATATATATATATATATATATATATATATATATATATATATATATATATATATATATATATATATATATATATTTGTATAGATAAGTTGTATAAAATATATCCAAGATATATATCTGTTATATATTATATATTATTATATTAGTGTTTCACAGGAAGACGTGTGATCGCATGTCATTATATGACCAGGCAAATCACATTTTGCTTTGGCAATTTGTGCAGCTATTTCAAAAAAACATTTTAAAAACGCGCTAAATAAAAAATATTCTGAATTATACCTTAAGTGAAATAAATTACATTCTTAACAAAAGTTTTTATATTAGCGAAACGCTTTTAAATAAAATAACAATTTACTGATAATGATTATTTTTAAAAGTATAATTGACAGTTGTATTTAATTTTTGTAATTTATATTATATAAATTATTTAAGTATACATTAAAAAGTAAAAAAAAGTAAAAATTATTAAAAATAATTTTCACTTTTTATTATTAATTAAAAAGTAAAAAATTATTTTATTTTTGATAAACAATAACTTACGACAACTACGACAACGAAAGATTATTTAATGGATTTTAATATAAAAATTATTTAAGTTAATACATTTAAAAAGATTAAAAAAAAATTGTTGTAAAAAAAAAAAAAAAAATTATTTTGAAAGCCATTACAATTAAAGAAGTTTGATCTTTAATACTTATATTATTGAAACCTTTTTTAATGAAGTAAAAAAACACTTCTAATGAATATTTATATTAAGTATTAATAATGTACTTTTGTTTTTTTTTTATTTATATAATTATGTATTTTTTATGATAAATGTTAATCTTTTGAAATAAATTTAAAAAAAAAAAAGGTGCAAATGTTTAAATTAATAAAAAAATCACTGTTTATGTAAATCAAGTGTGTGCATTTTTGAAGCAATCATTAAAAATAAATTGTTTTTTGTTTATTAATGTTTATTAATGTTCTATTCATTAATAAAGATAAAAAATTATTCCGAATGTAATTAAAAACATGATTTAAATAAACTAAGCATTAAATCAAGCCTCACTTTTCTCCATGATTTTCCTCACATTGTGCTGCTGCAATTAAATAGAAACCGTTACTTCCATATACTATCAGCAAAACAATTCTCTAGAAAACAGACCTCTGTTTATTACTGCTAGAAACCATTGTAAAAAGGTTTTGTCTAACATCAAAGTCTGCTATTTTCAGGTCATGAAATCTTGTATTTCATCACACAAATTTGGCTTTCGTGACTCCTGGAGAATCTTTAATAGTATCAATAATAAGGGCAAATCTTTAATTCCACCTCGCTTGTATGGTTCAGACTTTGTCACCTCACCTAAAGACAAAGCTGAATTGTTTGCTAAGAATTTTTCATCAATATTAACTCTTGATTCCACTAGTTCAGACTTGAACAGGAATGGCGTGCAATTGAGCGCTATTGCTGACCACCCAAATGATTTATTTCTTGACAACTCAACCATGATTGCTTATATGTTTTGATGATTTAAAAATTTCAAAAATGCGCTGAATGTGGAAACACTAAGTTAAACTTAAACTAGGAAAAAAGTTTAAAAAAAAAACTAACGAAAAAAAAAATTCCTAATGAAAAAAAATTATTTATGAAAAAGAAATTATATAAGCACTAAAATAAAAATTAAAAATAAAAACTTAAACTCGAAGTGAAACTTTTTGTTACGTTTTTAATTACGTTTAAAATAAATCTTTTTAAACGTTTTATTAAAGTTACACAAAACGTTTTTAAATTAAGTGGTAAATAACAAGATTTAATAAATGAACAAATTTTATAAAATTTATTAAAAAGTATTGTATTTAGTATTTTTAAATTGTAAACATTTATTTTTTCAAAAAAGTTGCACAAAAAAATTTGTTTAAAAAAATAACTTAGTGCTCTATTTATCTAATTAGTAAGTCTAGTTAATAAAAAAAGGTTCCAACTCTTTTATTTGTAAAAATAGGAAAAAGTAAATAAATATAATGTGCCTGCAATTTAAATAAAATAAACTATCAACAAGCAATTTAGTTTAATTTTTATTTGAGCATTACAACTTTATTAATAAGCGTTTCACATAACGAATTTAAAAATTATTATAAATGATTTTAACTCATTCAATTCTATCAAAGTTGAAAAAAAAAAACTTTTTTTAAAAAATAAAATGTTTGCTTTTAAAAGTTTTTAAAAAATTGTTAGTTTAAATATAAAAATTAATCTTATGAACATTACAAATTACACGCTTATATAAGTAAATAAAGTTATTTTATATTCTTGTATAATTCATGTTTAAAAGATAAATATAAATGTGTAAAAGCTAGTAGTTGCAAAAGGTTCTGAACTTATTCATAAATTAAAGCAACTTTTAAAAAATCTTTTTATAATTAATGCTTTAAAAGATTTTTAGGAAGATATGGGAAAATAGTTTCAAGCGTTTAAATTTATCATGAAAAATGCATTCCTACTTAAAAAAAATTTATAACATTTTTTAATAATTTACACACATGTCAGGTTTGGTCAGGAAGCGGGTGCGATTGCACTTGATAATTGACCATGGAAATAATATTTAGTTGCGTAAAACCGGACAGATTTTTTAGTCGTTTTGAGAACATTTCAAAAACAAACAAAAAAGCGCATCAAGATTAACTGGACCGATGAGAGACAGTTAAAAAAAGAAAATAGCTTTTAACACGAAAAAACTTTAAGCAAAATAAATACGATTAGAGCATTTTTGAAATGTCGCTCTTTTATAATTTTTTTTATAAAAGTAAGCGACATTTTTTATATAAAGTAACAACTTACTATTAATGATTGTAATAATGTTCTTCGATTTAAAAGAGTATATATAATTTTTTATTTATATACTCTTAAATTATTTCCAGTGCTGTTTCCATGTCTTATTTCCAGTGCTGGATTGAGGTGGGAGGGGTCTATAGCCCCGGGACTCACAATGTTAGGGGCCGCAAAACAGTCAAGAGGACCATTCAGTATTTTTTTAGTCATTTTTTTGCTGTGGCATATAAAAAAGGCCACCAAAATAATGCCAGCCCTGAAAAGTCCAACAAGATTCAACAAATAAAACTAACGCTAGGTGATTTATTTATAAATAAAATGGTTTTTTCAATAACTGTTTTACACTTAGTTTGAAAAGTTTAACACATTTGAAGTAATTCTTCTTAGTAAGATTAACAAATGAAATAATTAAATTATTGAGTTACTGTAGAAATTCAATTAGCTAGATAAAAATTAATCAAAAACGTTAAATTACTTAGTGAAGAGGAAGCGAAACTGCTTCACAATACCGCTGTTGATGTTTAGTGAGTGAGCTTTATAATTTTAACTAGTATTTAAAACAGAAAAAAGTAACTTTAAGTTTAAGTATAACGAGTTTGTAAGAATGGCTGAAGCAAAAATAATTGAAGTTAGTAAACCAATATCTAAGAACTTAAAAACTTTTCTTTTTTGGGGGAAAGAATCTGCTATCAGGTACACTGAGGAAAATGGATTAGTGGTTAAAATTGTTTGTATTAACTTTGATGATTAAGAAATAATTTCATTGAAAACGCAGTTATTATTGAAAGTATTTTTGTTTACAAAATCAATCGCACAAATTGCTTTAAATACATAAAAATACATACATAAAAATACATTAGATGCATAAAAATACATAGCATGCATAAAAAATACATCCCTTACATATAAAAAATAAGAATATACTAATATAAAAATCTGTAATATATTTACAAAACGTTGACAAGTTAAAAAATATAAATTTAAAACATTTATTTTTGTAAAGAAATAGTTTAAAACATTTATAGCTTTGTAGATGTGGCTCCAAGAATGAGTCATAGTATTAAAATAATAGTTAGTTTGATAGTATATTCTTGAAACAATTTATGCTAGAAATCTCAACGAAAACATAACAATTCTTTAAAAAACAATACAATTTTTAAAAATATTTCAACAAAATACTCTAGAACATTCGGTTAATATTTTTTGAATACTCTAGAAATTTCAGTTAATATTTTTTGAACCAATAGAATTAGTTGTTCGTAGATTTGTGGGGTTTTTTCTGTTCCCGAATATTCTTTTTTTATTTTTCAGCACAAAGATGTTTGAAAACATTCGAGTTTATCTATGTTTCCATATAAGTCCGTAAAACAAAATATACTAAAATTTATAATAAAATAATGAACTTAATTATTATTTTGCGGGCAAACAAGGAAACATACATATACTTAAATGTTCTCAAAACGACTAAAAAATCTGGCCGGTTTTTCGCAACTAAATATTATTTCTGTGGTCAGTTATCGAGTGCGATCGCACCCGCTTCCCGACCAAGCCTGACATGTTTATGTAAACAATCATTAAAAAAAGAATTAATTACATGGTTTTATTTTAAAGCCTTCACTTAAAATAAAAACTTAAGTAAAGATCAATGATTAAAGGTTATTTACAACATAACACTTTTTATTGTACTTAAATTGCAATTTTTATTGCATTCCTGTCCAAGCCTGTGTTGTGTTCTACCAGGTATAGCCATCAAACAGGCTGATCCATTGCTTGACATTCATATCACTCCAGCTTCTGCATCTAAAGTGATTTCCTGCTTAGACTCTTCTACAGCTTGTGGCCCAGACAACATACCTGTTATAGTCTTGCAGAAGTGTTAGAGTCCTGTTTTCCAGCCTGCTGGAAAGCAGCATATGTTATCCCTAATTTCAAAAATTCTGAATAGCGATCTGATTTGTCTAATTACTGTCCCATTAGTCTTCTTCCTATCATTAGCAAAGTTTTTGAATCTTTAATTAACAAACACTTAATCTCTCATCTTGAATCTAATAACTTTCTGATCATCAATATGGATTTTGATCTTCTTGTTCTATGGCTGATTTGCTAACAGTAATAACCAATAGGTTTTATTGTGTATAGTAATAACCAATAGGTTTTATTGTGCATTAATTAAGAGTGGAAAGGTTCAGGCCATCGTTCTTGACATTTCTAAAGCTTTTGATAAAGTTTGGCATGCTGGTCTTCACCATAAGCTTTCTTCTCTAGATGTATCTGGTAGCATCTTTAAGATTATTGAATCCTTCTTTTCCAATTGTAGTATAAAAGTTGTCCTTGATGGATAGCACTCTTCTTCTTATTCTGTAACCTCAAGGGTTTCTCAAGGTTCAATCCTTAGCCCTATACTCTTTTTAATTTACATTAAGGATCTTCCAGATATTGTCACATCAAAGGTGGCATTGTTCGCCGATGATACTACCATTAATTCTTTTCATGATAAGAAGCCAACACTCTCAGGTTGCTTGGAGAATGTATTTGAGCTTGAAAAAGATCTCACTTCTGCTACAGCATGGGGCTCACAGTGGCTGGTGAACTTTAATTCAGATAAATCTTTTTTTTTTTTCAGCCAATCATTATTGCAATAATTTAGGCCTTCCTATATTTATGAATGGTAATATACTCGATGAGTCATCTACCCTTCATCTTCTAGGATTAACTCTTACTTCTGATCTTTCTTGGAAACCATATAGCAAATCCATCGCAAATTAGCATCTGCTAAGGTTGCATCTCTTTATCAAGCTCGACACTTTCTTACTCCTTATTCTATTTTCTGTCTTATAAATCGCAAATCTGGCCTTGTATAGTTTTTTTCCTCTAACATCAGTTTTTCAGAATTTGCTTCCTTCATCTTGCTTTCCTGATTCATATAATTTGCAATCTTTTAAGTCATCTGTCAATCATTATCTTGCTCTACAGTCTTCATCTTTTCTCTTTCAGTATCTTCCAACTCTAACATGCTTCAGTCTCCTTTAAAAACTTTTTTTTAATATGAATATGTTTAATTTGCTTAAAAAATTTTTTAGTATTAAAATGATCAAAGTTATACTTTTCTGTTTTAGAAAATCAAATCAAATCAAATGTGATCAAGGCATTGCCAACGCACCCTCTACTTATACACAAACTTCTTTATACTGATCATTATGATACTGATATGTGCTTGTATGCATTTCGATGTATTTTAGCCATTTTAAACTGTGAGGGTCGTTTGTTTATATGTGCTGCTGCAACTACAAGTGTTAATGTGGGAAACTCTCCACATCAGTCACTTCTTCGTGAATTACTAATTCGACATCGAAGAGTTTTGTCTGGAAAAGAGTTTTATGGATCTTTAGCAGAAGGTTTTTTGTTTTTGTTGAAATTTTAATATTAAACTCATAATATAGCTCATCCAATATAAGAAAATATTAACCTTTTTTCTGGCTCTTGCAAACTAGGCACAATTTTATACAGATCAAAACCTATTCAAAACCCTAATCCTTGTTGATGTATAAATGTGTAGGGCCCAGCTATCACTATTTCAGTATGACAAATAGGAACATTTATGACTATTAGTGACATTTCATCCATAAGTACTTTATTGTTTCATATTTGATTTAGCATTTTATATACTATATAAATATTAAATATTGTACTTGGCTTATAATACTTCTTAATATTTAGCTCAACAGTTGCTGGTGCGTGCTAGTACTGCTAAGTATATTGAAATTTTATTATCTGTTTGTTTGTATTATATTCGATCTGATTTTCATGAGCGTCTGCAAGTAAACTCTTCACTCATAGAAGGAAATTTTTTAGTTCAAACTATTTCTGCAGAACTTCTTACTAAAGTATCATTACTTTTGATTGATATTGCTAAAGATAGTGGAAAAGGATTTGCTAACTATATTAGTGATTTAATGTCTCGTTGCAAAATTCAGCGTATTGGTTTACACTGTTTACTCTCCACAGTCTATGCTGACAGCTCTGATTATCAACAAGTTAATGGAACTGGGGTTTATAGCATGGTTAATTTGCCTAATCTTACAAGTACATCTAAAAGAAACGTTTCTAATCGAAATTTGATAGATTTACAAAAGACATTATTAAATTTTATGGACTCACTTATTCATTTAGAATATCTTATTGGTACAGAAAACATTACACTACCAAGCAATCAAAAAAACCCTCCTCCCAACTGTTTGCCATTTGAATATATTCCTTTTAGACCTATCATCACACAACCTATGTTTATTTCT